GTATCTTGGTGTGGCACTACGGAATTAAACATTGTTGCAGCCATGGCGAATTCGTTTCTAATGACTCAAGCACAAAACCAATTTCAAATTTGAGCTACAACAGTGGTTAATTCGGTAACGCCACTCCATATTACGTCGGTTTCTTCAATGCCTCAAACGAACATAGCCTGAAATGTATCCATTTTACCTTGCTGTGAATTAATTTATGGCTATGATGATTTTGAAGAAACAAAATCCGTTTATGAGATTTTTAGCCTTTGTTCATATAAGAGACAAACGTATCTTGGCGTGGCATTACGGATTTAACCGCCGTTGCAGCCATGGCGAGTTCGTTTCTGATATAAATCAAGCCCAACACTGGATTTTAAATCTGAGCTAAAACGGTTTTAGGCCCTGATATTTAGGCTTCCCAATTCTATTACAGTGATTTTTAGGCTTTCTTTGTTTGAGGCAGTGAAGAAACTGAATGTAACTTGGCGTTGGGTTACCTTACTAACCACCATTTTACCAGCCATGGCAATTTTGTTTCTTAGGTTGCCTCAAGTGTATAAATTTTGTGTGGGTGTGTATAAGAATTAACGGGGGTTCAGATTTTGAATTTATGAAATTAATTACTTTGATTTTCAGGTTTTTAAAGTTTGAGGCATTGAAGAATTGAATGCAACTTGGCGTGGCGTTACGGAATTAACCACCGTTGAAGCAGCATGGCGATTTGGTTTCTTTCATTGCCTCAAACGCCTAAATTTTGTGCTGGTGAGTAACTATTGTATGGCATATGATGATTTTGAAGTAATGAAATATGTTTCTCTGATTTTCAGGCTTTGTTCATTTCAGGCAATTTAAGAAACCAATGTAATATGGCGCGGTGTTACACAATTAAGCACCATTGTAGACTCCATTGCGATTTGGTTTCTTAAATTGCCTGAAATGTAGCCATTCACGTGGGTCTATGTATGAGTTTATGGCTTTGATGATTTTGAAGAAACGAAATCTGTTTATGAGATCTTTAGTCTCTTTAAGTTTGAGGCATCGTAGGAATGAACGTATCTTAGTGTGGCACTATGGAATTAAACGTTGTTGCAGCCATGGCGAATTCGTTTCTAATGACTCAAGCACAAAACCAATTTCAAATTTGAGCTACAATGGTGGTTAATTCGGTAACGCCACGCCATTTACGTCGGTTTCTTCAATGCCTCAAACGAACATAGCCTGAAATGTATCCATTTTACTCCGGTGTGAATGCGTTTATGGCTGTGATGATTTTGAAGAAACGAAATCCGTTTATGAGATTTTTAGCCCTTGTTCATATAAGAGAAAAACGTATCTTGGCGTGGCATTACAGATTTAACCGCCGTTGCAGCCATGGCGAATTCGTTTCTGATATGACTCAAGCCCAACACTGGATTTTAAATCTGAGCTAAAACAGTTTTAGGAACTAATATTTAGGCTTCCCAATTCTGTTACAGTGATTTTTAGGCTTTGTTTGTTTGAGGCAGTGAAGAAACTGAACGTAACTTGGCGTTGTGTTACCTTACTAACCACCATTATACCAGCGCTGGCAATTTGATTTCTTAGATTGCCTCAAGTGTATCAATTTTGTGTGGGTGTGTATAAGAAATCACGGGTGTTCAGATTTTGAATTTATGAAATGAATTACTTTGATTTTCAGGTTTTTACAGTTTGAGGCATTGAAGAATTGAATGCAACTTGGCGTGGCGTTACGGAATTAACCACCGTTGAAGCAGCCATGGCGATTTGGTTTCTTTCATTTCCTCAAACGCCTAAATTTTGTGCTGGTGTGAGTAAATATTTTATGGCATATGATGATTTTGAAGTAATGAAATATGTTTCTCTGATTTTCAGGCTTTGTTCATTTCAGGCAATTTAAGAAACTAATGTAATATGGCGCGGTGTTAAGCAATTAAGCACCATTGTAGACTCCATTGCGATTTGGTTTCTTAAATTGCCTGAAATGTAGCCATTCACGTGGGTCTGTGTATGAGTTTATGGCTGTGATGATTTTGAAGAAA